CAAACAAATACTGACTGTTTGACTCATCAGGGATTCTACAGAAGGCACTGCAAAGATCTGGCATTGACAAGCAGGCTGCTTTAGAGGAGGGTTAGATAGCAAGATGTGTGGATCAGGTACCACCGACTGGTGAGGGATGGTCTGACTCATTTATGGCTGGGAGCTCCAGCACAAACCTCCATTCTCTTCCCTTTGGCTGCCTTGTTGGTACTGGGGTGTTGCAAGGGGTTAAAAGCCCTTTTCTCAGAATTGCTCTGTGGGGGTTGATTCCTGTTGGGGCTTCTTTCCCGAGGGCATCATTTATGTTAGGGTTGCCTTTACTGTCACCCAGTCAGGGCCACTGAGCTTCTTTGTCCTGTGTCTGTTGAGGATTTTGCCTGTGATTCCCAGGGCACCTGTGAAGGAAGGCTGTCCGTTTCCTCGTGTAGGGATCTTCTGACTCCTTCATAGGTGATGTGGCGGACAAGAGGATTCCTGTGTCCCCAAGTTAAAAATCGTCTTTCCCTTTTGAGAGGAGGAGCTATGAATATTTTGTGGTTTTAAAAAGTCCTGTCCTAACAATGGAGAGGGACACAGATCACCAGTAGAAGAGTTGATACCCTGCAGTTTCCCAGCTGGAAATATACAGGGTTTGTCTTAGAGGCAGCTGTGGGGAGCTCAGAAACCTCCACCATCTTAGTCTGACTTTTACTGAGGGAGAAAGTTTTTAAACATGTGGGATTTAAAGCAGACAGTAGCTCTGGTACCAGCAGGGCCTTTGCTTCCTCTAGGTTAATAATTATTGTTGTTTCTCCCACAGTATTACTAACAGAAAAAGGAAAAATTCCAGATTCCCGCAGAGCAACTGTATTCTAGCTTAGTGCTTTCTTTCAAGGTCTCTCAGGTCTGTTGTCCGTTTTGGGAGAGCAGAAAATTCAAGTTCTTACAGTTTAGAAATGTTCGGGTCTTTTACAGTAGTTACGAGTAGCCTGTCTCAAGGTAGGAGGAGTTAATAGGTCTCTTTATCAGGAAGCTCAACAGTTTTAATTGAAAGCTTAGAATTTGAGCAGTGAGTTGACCTTCTAAGGCGACAAGGGCGGCCCAGGCTATATTATTCCCCTTGACCAAAATGGTCAAATCTTCCTGCCTTTCCATAAGTGCAGAATTTAACAAGGCATCACTTTGTTCTGTCAGTCCTCAGGGGAATATTATTAATGAAAATCTCACTGCTAGACACAAGGTACCTATCTCCCTAAGGTCAGGGATGCCCCAGAGGTACTAAAAACAACACAGGCTGTTGTCATTTCTCATGGTCTCCCACCACCTCCAAATGGTAAGACTGTTGCTGAGGACTCCACTCCCTTTGGATAAAGGACATAAAGGAATCAACCTCTACTGACCAGGAAACTCTCCTAGATAGCTAGCTTTTGTAGGGCTGGAAGTCACTATGCAGGCCCTTGGGGGAGAAAAGACGTCAGAGGTCTCCTTTAGCATTGAACCTTGTATGCTGCAATATAACAGACATCCCTGGCAACATGTGCCCACGGTACAATAGTGGCCTGCCAGTTATGGGGGTGACCAGCTCCTTTCTGCTTGAGTATGGTACTGCTTCACAGGAGCGGTTGCATGCCTGGTACTATAAACCTAGTCAAAAGTCCACGACTGAGGAGATTTGGTAAGTGGTATGCCTTATAATTATTTGTGCCTATTTCTGCAGGTTTATGTCGCTGTCAGTCACAGACTGAATCTGCTTATGGTTTCGGTGGGTACTGGTTAATATAGACATTCACAAATGGACAAGTGCTGAGGTAACTGAGTGCTCAGCTGTGGATTAATCATCTGCTTCACCCTCCCCCCAGCCAAAGTGCAGGAGACAGCGCGGGAAAGGGTGGGAGTGTGTGGCAGCCGACACAAGGGGAGAGGGCTGTGTAACCTGGCTTCTGGGCATGGCACGGCTGTTGTACTCAGCACACAGCAGCCTTGCTTAGCTGCTCAAGACCTGTCGTCCATCAAGTCAGTTAGAATTCCAGCATTTTGAGTGAAGGACTCTGAGGGTGGGAGTCAGTCACTACCCTTCAGGGGAGGTCTCCAGGGGAGGTCTCCATGTCCCTATGAGATTAAGCTAGATTCGTGTCTGGTCTGAGACTCACTGTCAGGTGAAGCCCTGTGCTTGGAGATCTGCTTGTGCTCGTTCCAGAGACTGACGTTGGTTTTAGGACTTACTTCTGTGGTCTCGGCGTTAGAGTTGGTGGTCCCGCTTTTATTGGTGTTTGTGGCAGTTTTGTGTTGTGCCTCCTTTCCTTTTTCACACGGGATGACTCCAGCTTTCTTCCATGGCTCCAGAGACAGTTTTTTATTATGTTGTCTTTGAAAAGTTCAACAGTTTCTCCTTGAGCCCCACCTCCACCCGGTGACTAATTTGGGGTGTGATCCTAGAACGAAGTAAAATACTTGAGGGGGAGGGTTAGGAAAGGGGGAGTCTTGGAAACCTGAGGCTGCTGTACTGAACATAGAGGCTAGTTATCACTGTAGAAGACTTGGGGCCAGTCCCTTTAAAGAACCTTGTAGAGCTGCCTCAGGAAGCTGGATATTTACCAGGTCCTCCTCGGGATGCCCTAAGAAAGCCAAGGCACCACGAAAGAAGAAACCACAAGTAAAAGCATAAACCCCTTGAGGTACAAGAAGAGGAACCTGCTTGAGGCGGTGGGAAACCTGTGACTGGCACAGAGCAGGCCTCTGCAGCTGCCCCATGGGGAGGGGACACAGTAGGGGGTTGTGCCAGGGTCCTTGTCTATGTGGGCCAGTGTCCACCAGTGACTTAATTACTCCCAGGCCACTGCAATTGCACCAACATTACATCTTCCTGTCTTCTGATGCCCACCTATCACCTCCCTGATAGCTGGAGGGAGGCTGTGCTTTCTCTGACCCTTCATTTCTCAAATAACATTAAGCTCTTTCCCACTCTTCCTGGTTTATCTGGCACAGTTAGGGGAAGTAGGAGTGGAGGTACTGCTCCACCCTGTCCCTGGCAGCAGCCTGTGACATTGTCTTCATCTTTTGGGGACCTCAGGCAAAAAACGAGATCCCCAATCACATGGTAGAGTACTTCAGGATGAGGCCGTATGAAGTAGAGTTCGAGTCAGTTGTCTCTGGGGAAGAAGAGACAGCAGCATGGATGCTGGCACCTTGAAGAGTCTTGCTTCATTACCATTACAAAAGTGGAATCCCTTCCTTCTTGGGAGGCTTAGCTGTTATCTTCAAAGGGTTTTAGAGGAACCTGAGATCACAGGATAGCTCCTGTGGGTCACAGAGATGCAAGAAATGGGGTTAGTCTTTTCTGAGACTCCAGAAGATTCTCTTGAGCCTGTTCTGTCACTTTTGTAAGCAAGGGCACAGTAAAACTACCGAAGTGGACCACTGTAGGTAGAAAGAAAAGTTTACTGGGGAAACAAACTACTGATCTACCTTCAAGAATAGAAGACATTGGGGCTGGAGAGATGGCTCAGAGGTTAAGAGCACTGACTGCTCTTCCAGAGGCCCTGAGTTCAATTCCCAGCAACCACATGGTGGCTCACAGCCATCTGTAATGAAATCTGGTGTTCTCTTCTGGCATGCAGACAGACATGGAGGCAGGATGTTGTATTGATAATAAATAAATAAATCTTTATATTAAAAAAAAAGAATAGAAGACAGCAATTGGACGGGAAGCACAGAGATTTTACACAGTCAGCAGGGTGGGGGTTCTGAGCAGTTACAGGTTAGGATTAACTGGGAACTAGATGCCCTGCCCGAGGTGGTTGACTGATGGGATGGATAAGGAAAGATTCCGAGGAATGCTGAATTTAGGCCAATAGCAGTCCTTTGTTGACCCTGTCAAGAGTCCTTCTTTTTAGGACATTGTCACCAGCAGGAGGCAGGGGGCACTTTGGACCTAACATCACCAGGGTGTGAGAATTAACATGGAGTCACTGCTTTTTCCAGGGGGTTGCAGTTTATTTACTTATTTTTTGTTTTTAGATAGGGTCTCATTATGTAGACTGGGCTGACCTAGAACTGGCTATGTTCCTGCTTCTGCCTCCTAGTGCTGGGCCTAAAGGTGTGTGCTACAATGCCTGGCTCTGTTTTCAGTCTTAGGTATCATTAGCTTAATGTGACAGCTGATAGCTAAAATTTTGTCAGAAGAACAGCCAGGCCATTATGGTGTGAGTGTGTGGGTTCAGGACACTGGTTATTGTATTCTTTAGATTACTGTGCTGACTAGTTTTATGCCAACTTGACACAGCTAAAGTCGTTGGAGAGGGGAGAATTGAAATCCATGAGATCTGGCTGTAGGCAGCTTGCAGGACATTTTCTTAATTAGTGATTGATGCTGGAGGAGCCATCCACTGTGGATGGTGCCATCTCTGGGCTGGTGGTCCTGGATTCTGTAAGAAAGCTCCAGTATGCAGCACCCTCCATGACCTCTGCATCAGCCCTGCCTGAGTTCCCGCCCTCACTGCTTTTAATGATGAACAGTTGTATGGAACTGTGAGGGAAATGGACCCTTCCTCCCTCAAGTTTATTTTGGTCATGGTGTTTCATCACGGCAGTAGTAACCCTAAGACAATCACTGATATTCTGACTAAAATAATACTATTTAAAAGTAAGTAAGCAGATTGAGTAAATTGTTTGCTTTCTTGGAGTTTCCTGAGACCTGTGCTGTAAGGAGATGACAAATCTTACCATAAAGCTTTTAGCAAAAGCTTGTCATTCCCGCTTGCCTCTCTGCCCTTCCCACCTCTCGGTTGGACCAGGCTGTGCTTCGTGATGTTTAACATGTTCAGTTGAGGTTACTTTGACACTTTGGCCATTCATTCTTCATAACAGCCTGTGCTTCCTAATCAGAAAGTCCACTGAAGTGACTGTTCGAGCGTGTGCAGAGGGGGTCTCCCAGAAGTTGGTCTGAGTAGGTGGAAAATGTCCGTGTCCTGCACACAGTTGCTTTGCCACTCTGGTAACGGTTTCCTTCTGTGCTCCTACAGGGGCCCAGGCTTGTGTGCTTGTGTTTTCTACCACAGACAGGGAATCTTTTGAGGCAATTTCCAGCTGGAGAGAAAAAGTAGTCGCGGAAGTTGGAGATATACCAACTGTGCTTGTACAAAACAAGATTGACCTGCTGGACGACACGTGTATCAAAAAGTAAGATGGCCTACACGTATCTGTTCTTCATTGTTAATATTTTGCTAACCTTAAACACTTGCCTTATTTTAAGTTTTCTTTCTGAGAGTGTGTGTCTCACTCTGTGGCCTAGGCTGGCATAAGCTCCTTTCCCATCCAGGTGGACCTCAGGCTCATCCAGCCTTGGCCTTGTGCATGCTGGGGCTGTGCTCATGTCCAGGTCCACTGGAAGGGGGCTCACTCACTGGGGGCGGCGCTCTTCATGCTCTTCCAGCACGACAGCCATTTCCCCGGAGAGGAACTCTAATGACTTTGATGACCTCTCAGAAATGTCTTATTGGACACAGGGAAGCCTTGGTTACAGGGTGGGGAGAGCCACACGGGGAATGTACAACAGGAGGCTGGGGGCCACAGGGAGCCATTTTGGATCAGGGCAACCACAATCCCAGTAAATCGACAAACAAAAGAGTCCCCATGAAACTAAAACTAAAATGTACTCTTACTGTCATAGCTTTTAATGTGCTCACTTTAATGTTTGGTAATTAGAGTAAAATAAGCAGCTTGCAGTGTAACCAATTCAAGTGGTGTTAAAGAGAAATAATCTTTATAGTGGTATCATATAGACTGTCCTGTAGTCCTTGTAACTGAGGGTGACTTTGAACTTTTGACCCTTCTTCTGTCTCCCTCTGAAGTGCTGGAATTCACAGGCCTATGACATTATGCAAGCACTCTACCAACTAAGCCAAGCCCCCAGCCCCAAACTGAGATAGATACTCTAAAGAAAAGGGCCGTATAATTGTTTTGTGACTTTATAGTACTGGCAGATGTGTAAAGAGAATCTTTTTCTTTTGCTAGCCGCTTTGGTTTATCCCCCGCCAGTCGCCTGGGCTCTGCCGCGCCAGCCTGGTTCTAGATCCGCATGAGTCCCAAATAAACACAGAGGAGGCTATATTAATTATGAAGCTGTTGGCCTTGTTTGTCTCTTACTGGCTAGCTCTGCCTTAAGTAATTACCCCATAATTGTTAATCTAAGTATGTTTCTTACCGGAGAATAGTTCCCGGCATCCTACCCCCATGGCATCACATGTTGACTCTCTTGTGTTTCCCCTTCCCAGAATCCTCCTCGACTCCTAGTCCCTCCTATCTAGGTTTTCTATTGGCCAGACAATACTTTATTGACAAATGCACAGGCAAATAACAGGACTTCCCCAACACAGATGATTGGTGTTTGTCCCACAAGAACAGTGAAGGTGAAAACCCTGTGGTTTGTTAAAGGGGAGACCTGTCAGGCTTCTTCAGAAAGGGCCCTGCACCCCTCCTCCACCCTCCCCCTCCTCCCGCCCTCCCCCTCCTCCCTGTCATGCTCCAGTGTTACTCATCAGGTACGAATCAAAAGTATGTTTGTTTGTTTGTTTGTTTTTTGTTCAGTGAGGAAGCTGAGGCTCTGGCCAAGAGGCTGAAGTTAAGATTCTACAGGACGTCTGTGAAGGAAGATCTGAATGTGAATGAAGGTGACCGCCTCTTTAAAGAAACTTGTGGGGTTTTTAAGTGCTATTGCTGTCATGCTTAGAAATTGGATTTCAAAACAGGTTGAGAACAAGTTTCTTCTTGTCACATTATAGTAATTTTGAAAGTATTCTGCTCCAAGGGCCCTTAATTATTCACTAATATTGATGATTACTTGTTGCTTACTCTTCCGGAAACTCCTAAGATTTTCAGTGGGTTACTTCTTTGCCTGTTTTTGGGTTTTTTTTTTTTTTAGCTCTTAAACTCTAAGCCATAGGGCCAGCAAGATGGTGATCAGGGGAAGGTGCTCACTGGCAACTCTGACAGTGAGTTCAACCCCTGGAGCCCACAGAGTGGGAGGAGAGGAGGAGCCGTTCTGCAAGTTGTCCTCAGTCTCCACATTCTTGTGCCACACACAGAGAGAAAAACAACTGACAGAAACATTCTAACAAAACTAAGTGTGAATGAATACATCTATGTAGTTCTCGTGCATAAATTTTAGAAGTTACTGAACCGCTTTATTATTCCACCATTGTAGAGACTCCATCAGACAGCAAAATTTCTTCAGTACTTTCAAGTTTAATAAAATAAGGTTAGCTGGGCATTGGTGGCACACACCTTTAATCCCAGCACTCAGGAGGCAGAGGCAGGCAGATCTCTGAGTTCGAGGTCAGCCTGGTCTACAAAGTGAGTTCTAGGATAGCCTAGTATACAGAGAAATCCTGTCTCAAAAAACCAAACAAAAGAAAATAAGCTAGAAGAAATGTTTTTAGATTTTCTCTCATTCTAGAATTTTCATTTTTAGATTGCAACTGGATTGTCACTTGGGTCTTTATTCCGTATAGTTTTCTTCAGAAAAGAAAGTGAAAGGGAAGTTGTTTAAGCAGGGCATGGTGGGTGGATGTAATTTTAAGTTTATGTAGTTAAGTCCAAATATTGCAATACGAAAGTTGATTTACTTGCATAGTCATACTGTGTATGTGTTTATTCTAGTTTTTAAATATTTGGCTGAGAAACATCTACAAAAACTCAAACAACAAATAACCGAAGATCCAGAGCAGACGCATTCAAGTAGTAACAAAATCGGTAAGTGCTTGGGAAATTTCAGCCCATGTGTTTACCTGGCACTTACTCCATTTATTGTGTTGTGTTTACCTTTTTTATGTGTAATATGCTCATTTCTTTAAGAAATCTGGGTTAAAACTGTCAGAATGAGATTGCTGAGCTCGGTGAGTATCCGCTCTCTTGTTAAGAGTTGTTCCTGCTGAGTTTCGGGGTCATCCGGCAGACAGGGGAGTGCTTCTGAGAAGACCCGTGTGTGTGTGTGTGTGTGTGTGTGTGTGCGAGCAGGCTCCCCGCCATCATCTCTCCCGAGTGTTCTCCTTTCCTGCCCTTCCCTCTCATCTCACTACTTCCTACTGATCTTTCTCTTGTGTGGGAGACACCGGTGAAGCGTAGCAGTCCCTGAAGACTATGTTACCTTCTCTTACAGTAGCTGACCGTGGATTTGGGCTTGCACAAAGATGAGAGCCGTGCTTGGTACATTGTCATATAGTATGCTTGCATATTGTATATCACCTATTAGACTGCACCTTCTTGTGGGTGGGAACTGGTCTTGGATTCTGTTTCCTTGATGGCTTCTATGCCCAGAGTTTCATGTATCTAGATGCTCGGCAGTTCATAGGTTAGAGGTTCCATTCTGTGCATAGCTTCCTCTATCATTCCCTTGTCACTTTACCTGTTGGCCAATTTGATTATGGTAGTTTAGCCTCAGGATGCAAAGAGGAAGTGGAGATGGGTAGTGGCAGTGCAGCAGAGTTTAATGAAGCCGAACTGTTCCAGTATAATAAAAAATAAAAACAACCGAGGTACTCAATTATATGTCTGATTTCACTAGTAAATAAGGTGTATATGACAGGTGACTTGGAGGTGTATAAGTCATTCTGTTTTTCCCCAATTATACAGGTGTCTTTAACACATCCGTTGGAAGTCACTTGGGTCAGAATTCAAGTACCCTTAACGGTGGAGACGTCATCAATCTTAGACCTAACAAACAAAGGACCAAGAAAACCAGAAATCCTTTTAGCAGCTGTAGTATACCCTAAGTTGTTTCAGGGAGGGGAGCAGGATTGCATTTGCAGTTCCCTGAGGAGCACCCAGCATCACTGTGTGTTCGAGTCTTAGCGGACCTTGCACCTCGCCCTGAAAGCTGACATTGTAATGTTGCCCTGCAGCGCTTCTCAGATGTAGATGGAGACCTCTGCTGGAAAATTACTGCCTTGGGCATTCATTCTACTTCTTCACATTAGACGAAGCTTCTCCTGTTTTTGAAGGGACACCACGGGACATGTCAAAAACGGGTTTTGCTGAATTTTAAATGCTGAAAACAAAAATGAAATGACTAAATATATTGGGTCCAGTTTTACTCTTAGAGACTAAGGAGAGATAGCAAGTGTTCTTTTTCTGGAACTGATCCTCTAGCTTTTCTGGAATGTTCATTCTGAATACTGAAGGAAAAATTCAGACTTTGTCAGCCTGCACTACTGTGTGTTGTCAGTGGTCCTCGTGCAATATCTGTAAAGTGTAGATTGTGGGCTTGTGCATGCAGACACCTGGCCCCAGAAAACAAAGGTCTGTGCGCTAGTCAAGGGTTTGTAGATTCTAAGTAGGTCACCCATACAACCATTACACATTGTCTGTCTTTATGGTCTCACATGAGAATGTCGAGACATATTTTACAAAATGAACTTGGACTTAAATGTACTGTGTGCCAAAACAGCCCCCTAATTTTTACAGTGCTTTGGTAGTAGGATTTGTATTCGTGGCATCTTTTAAAGGCAGTGTCCTCTCCAACAGTGTAGGTGAAGGTAATGTAAACATCCGAATGCCAGACTTCTCCCTAGTGAGAGTCCTGCATTCTTCTCCGTGGCCACTGTAAGATGGCAAGCTCTTGCTGTCACAAGCTTAGCCACATCCCCCGGTCCACAGGAGCCAACAGTCACTCAGAAGATCCTGGGAAGTGTGTGCACACTTGCTTCCGGGCTGATGACTGAGACCCCAACTCTGAACTTTGAAGATGAAGGGAGCCATTTTTTCAGAATGTACAAAAGATAGTCTCTGGTCCTGACCCAGATTATGAATTTTCTGGAGCCTTGCAACTCTGAAGTATCCTTCTGTTTACACACCTTGTATAGCATTTTAAGACTATTGCTTGAACTTTTGTGGCCTTTGGTTTACACAGACCCTTATCAGGAGCTGTCAGCCCCGAGATGTCTGTAAAGAAATGACCCAGTGTGTAAATGATGCTTGTAAACTTGTAGTTTGGGACACTAGCCTGCCAAAGAGAGATAATTTCATGAGGTCTTTTAAAAAAACTGAATATTCGTCATTGCTGGTTTTATTTTTAAAGCTTGAATCACTCCTTTCCACATTCCTGGTTTTCACAGGATTTCAAATATATAAAAATGATTTTTCTTGAAAAATGTGCTATGACGTCATTTTCTATTATTTTTATCAAAATATGTTCAATATATACATAAATGATTGATGTATTTCTCTTGTTCTTTTTTGTTTTTAAGTTCACCCCCATTGTACTGCCCTCACCCTGCCCAGATTGATGTTGAGAGCATAGCAGAAGTCACGGAGTGCCCTTGTTACGTAGTCCACACTGAATGCTCGCCCTTCACAGCAATGAAAGGGTCTGGCCTCATCCATCCCCAAGTAGTAAAGATGCTTGTTCTGTGTTATCTGCTGTTAGCACTCCCATTGCTGGCGGTGGGCTAAGAGGTGGGGGCCTTGGTTCCTAACCAGGGTCCCTGGGTGCCTGTGTGCCTCATGGTTTCTCTCATACAGTCGCCTTAGCTTCTGCACAAAGTGTGTTTGGTGGCAAGTGGTCTTGTTATTTTTAATTGGCAGGGTTAAATTGGAAGAATTCATTATAGACCATTGTAGCTTAATCATAGTCACTAAATGTGTGGGGAAAAGGTGTGTGGTACTTCTCTGTAAAATAATGACCCAGTCTAATTATGGCTGCTGATTCCTTAATGTTTGTAACAGAATTTTATGTATTTTGTTTTATCTTTTTTAATGGAAGTCTTTGTTACACATTTGAAGTTTTACTTTGCATTGCTATATTTTATACTTTGAGAAGTCTAACATCAGCCACAAGTAATTGATTTATCAATGTATTTAATTCTGAAACCTTTAGAGGTCACCTTGCTTTCTTTTGTGACTGTAACTTTGGTGAAGCCCCTTGGTGATGATAAAGAGAACTCTGTCCATTTGTGCTCTAGTTTTCTGGCATCATCTCCCGTGGTTAGGGTCAAGCACACAGCTGTGGAATAATTGCCATATCAAAGAGTTCCTCAGGTTTCCTCTTCCAGTCTCTGCCTATGTACATAAAACGGCCCTGTGAGGCAGTACAAATAAACACAGGTTTAACTGTTCCTTTCTATCCACTCAAAGTGACAGCACACATCTTTTTCAAATTAGAGCTAACACTACCACAGAGAAGCTGTATGACCGACGCTTCCCTGCAGAGTGAAGTTAAGCAGTTGCTTCTGACCTGGGAAAGCAGCGCTGAGAAGAACTTGGGAGTGTGGGCCCGCCCTGTGCTTGCCACCAGGAACTGGGGTCTAGTCAGAACATTAGGATGAGGAGTTGGCCTTAGAATCCATCATCCTTTGGAGAGATTCTGGTACCTGCTGTGAGGTACTCTGGGAACACCTCATTGGAGCATCACTCACAGACCGACCGCAGGGGGCTCACAGGGTGAGCGCATCCTCCGCTGCAACCATTCAGTGACTAGGTGGCTTTAATCACCATAACTTGTTACTCTGAAGGGTTTCATAGATGCAACTTAAAAAGCTATCATACAAAGGAAATTATCTGCATACAGGTACATAAACCACAGTGGGGTCTGAAATACCCAGGCACCAAGCTCCCAGATAATGGAATGATTTGGCCACCAGAGTCTTTGTTACTACTCCTGATGTCTCTTGAAATATCTATAGTAGGATGTTGATAAATGGTATTTTAAAAACAAAATCTTTGGATCAAAGGAAAAACTTTACCCCTCCTATATTTTTGTTACTAATAAATAATGCTTTTGTAAATCTGAATGGGAAACTACTTGTATGTATTCATACTGAGTGGTACTTATGCCTTTGGGGTTAATTTAAAAATGTACTACTACTTGATTACAATTTCAACAAAGATGAATTCCAATAACCAAAATAATAAAGCATTTTAAAGCTAGAATTTTGTGTGGTGTGTATGTGTGATGGCGACCGCCAGTGTGGGGCGGAATGTACAAAGGGCCCAGGTGTGATGATATCGCTAGGCCGTCTTTGGCTGTCCGGCGAGGTATGAGACCGCTTATAATAAACAAGTGAATGAACAAACAGGCAGGCGTGGCTTCTTTAACTATCAAAATAACGTAAAAATAGTTCACACTTTGTCACTAGTGCTCATAGTCTGGGTTCCATTTTTTGTTTGTTTTGTTTTCTTTTCTTTTTACGAGACAGGGTTTCTCTGTATTGTTTTGGAGGCTGTCGGTCCAGCCCGGCCTCGAACTCACAGAGATCTGCCTGCCTCTGCCTCCCGAGTGCCGGGATTAGAGGCTTGTGCCACCACTGCCCGGCTTGGGTACCAATTTTTAATGTAACTTAATAGCATCGTGCTCTAAATGTTTTTTCTCTAGAAGTTTACTTTCTTCTGTAATCTAATTACAGCTAGTCGTGTGTGTGTTTGTGTCTGTGTGTGTGTGGTGTGAGAGAGGAGGAAGGGTTTGAGATGGGGTTTCTCTGTGTAGCCATGACTGTCCTGGAACTCGCTCTGTAGACCAGGCTGACCTCAAACTCAGAGATCCACCTGTCTGTCTCCCCAGTGCTGGGATTAAAAACTGTGTGCCACCACCTTCTGGCTACTACTAGGTTTTTTTTGTTTGTTTGTGTGTGTGTAGTTGTTGTTTTGTTTTGTTTTGAGACAGGTTTACTCTGGATAGCTTTGGAGCCATCCTCGAACTCACTCTGTAAACCAGGCTGGCCTCAAACTCACAGAGATCCACCTGCTTTTGCCTCCCAGTGCTGGGATTAAAGGCGCGCACCACCACTGCCCAGATACTACTAGTCTTTTAAAGAAAGTTACTTTCGTTTTTTGAGGCGTTTGGCCCCAAACACCATTACTTCGGGTGTAAAATAACTGTAGTTTAGCTCATTGTGTGGGACAACCCCCTCAGCCACTCTCTTTTACACTTCCTCACCCATCACCTTTACCCTGATTTTTATAGACAGGAGTGCAGAATCTGAACCATAAATGATGCAGCCGCCCCGCCCTCTGCTGGTCAAAAGGTGGGATTGCCAGCTCACCGTTCTTTTGTAGAACTGTCCCGGGTGTGTCCATTTCACCTAATTTCCTTGTATGGGTAAACATACACAAATAGAGAACGGCTAAGTTTAAACTCATCCATGTCCCTGTTGCTGCCTCCTCCAAATTTGCAGCCGTTTTTACTTTCTTTTGTGTCCTTGGATAACTTGTATTGTCCAGCTTTCAAGACAGCATCATCAAGTAGATGAACTTCAGATACAGTAGCTTGTCGGGACTGGCCATTTGAAAATGGCAAATATTTGGTATTCAGATTTTTCTGAGCTTTTTAGTTACTCTGTTGCTTCCAGTGACTGGCAAATTCTTTCCTATTTTCCAATTTCAAAGTGGACCTCGGGCTGGAGAGATAGGTGGTTCATTGCAGAGGACCCAGGTTCGATCCCCCCCACTCACATAGCGGCACACAACTGTCTTCAAAGTCAGTTCTAGGGGGATCCAGTGCTCTCCAAAGACACAGGCCTACATTGAGGTAAAGCACCCAGACACATAATGAGAATAATAAGTAAAATGGAGTGGGATCACTTTTGTCTTTCTTTTTTAAAGACAGGACTCACTATGTGTAGCCTTGGCTGACCTGGAACTCACCCTATAGACCAGACTAGGCTGACCTTGAACTTGGAAGACATCTGCCTGTCTGCATCTCAAGGGCTGAGATGAAAAGTCTTCACCACCATACCCATGACTCGATCACCTCTTTAGGGCGATGTCTGAGCACTCTGGTGAGGTACTGGACTGAGCTCCATCCTATACTTCATGTCCCTGTACACAATACTGCGTGTGCGTCGGGAGGGGTGTTTATATTTTATTAGCTACTCTAGTGTAGACCCTGGAGCCGCCCTATCCTCTCCCCTCCCTCTACCACGGGGTAGGCCTTCCCGGGGCCCCTGCCTTTGCTGCCTGAGCCTGCTGATCTCCTGGCTGCAGCTGAGCCAAGGTTTCCCTCTGTCACTCCGCCACTCAAGGTCCTGAAGCTGGCATCTGTAGCACTTAGTTTCCGCTGTGATACAGTCTAGCCTTCTCTCCCACTGTGGCCTGAGCCTCCCCCAGCTCCTGTTTGACAAGCACGGGGCACAGAAGCTTAAAGACCATGCTGGATCCACCGAGCAAGGCCGGTTCCCTTATGTTCTGATGGCTGTGCCTCAGACCTCAGCCTCCCTGCCCCGGGTTTGCTCAAGTGCCCCCTCCACAGTGCAGTTTCTCCACTTCTCCCTGCAGCTGCTTTTGGATCAGCTCTGCCACGACAGCTGACAGCCTCCTGGGGCTGGGTGGCTGGGGTTCAAGCTCTGGAAGGCACCGAGCTCCCCATTTTGACCCTGCAGGAAGGACAGCACTTCTATACAGCGCTTTGAGCACCACAGCCTCTCCTTGTCCAGAAGAGCCACTCCCTAGGAAGACCCCAGATCCTCCAACCCAAACCCCCTCACTTATCATCGTTAAAAACTAGTGTCCCCGGAGCATGCAGCTGGGGAGCCATGTTTCACACTTGTCATCAAGACTATTCATCTTCCCATGCTCTCAGAGCCTCAGGAACACTTTTCAAGGAAGGGTCCATAAATCACTCACATGTCAGTGGTGCACTTAGTAACTTTTTTTTTTCCGAGACAGGGTTTCTTTGTGACTTTGGAGCCTGTCCTAGAACTCACTCTGTAGACCAGGCTGGCCTCAAAGTCACATAGATCCCCTGTCTCTGCCTCCCGAGTACTAGGATTAAAGGTGTGCGCCACCACCCTGCTGTACTCAGTAATTTTTAACTGGACAGAATTTTCACTCTGCCCTTAGTTGAGGAATGTGAGTAGGTTGCTGCAAGCTCCTCTGTAGGTCCTGCTAGCTGCCACACTACAGCCTGCCCTTAGAGGGAAGGAAAGGCAGACAACGGCTTTAAAGGGCTAGTGGAGAGATGAGTCCTGGGAAGCAGAACTACCAGATAGCAGAGAGGCTGTCCTAAAATGTGTGTCACATGCACTTGAGACAGAGCAAAGAGTGTATTTAGCAGGCCCACTCCCCGGAGCTTCCAAGAGCCGGAGACACAGATTAGCAACCCCAAGAGGCAGGGAGGGGTGGAGCACAGTCAATTCTATGAGAAGCAACCAGTGACCATCCCAAAAATTCCACTGGGAACAATCAGAGCAAGGGCTATGGTTAAGAACACTTGCTGCTCTTGGAGAGGCCAGAGTTCAGTACTTTGCAATTATCTCCGGCAACTCAACTTCCTGTAACTCCAGGACATATCAACCCTCTTCTGTCTCTGTGGACACGAGTGCATGCACAGATACACGCAAAACCTATAGAGAATGAGAAGGAAATAACGCAAAGAGTCCAAAGGTCAAGGAGATAGCCAGAGTTAGTGACAGAAGTTCTGGATGAGTGTAGAGTGAGTGACCTGGGGGAGGTGGGCGTGTTTTCCCAGGGGAGAAAGGAAAAGGGCTGACATTTGAGAGCCTAAGGGAAATTTGTGTACTTCTTAAGTTTAAGAAGCTGAGCCGGGCGTTGGTGGCGCACGCCTTTAGTCCTAGCACTTGGGAGGCAGAGGCAGGCAGATCTCTGTGAGTTTGAGGCCAGCCTGGTCTACAGAGAGTTCCAGGACAGCCAGGGCTACCCACAGAAACCGTGTCTCAAACAAACAAAAAAGAAGCTGGTAAAGAACCAGGTGACAGAAACTATCGTGACAGCGAGCCTGGTGGCAGACATAAGTCTGCAGGCAGATGCTTTGCCTCGGCTGGGGCCTCTTTCCACAGAGACTGGCTTAGCATTTCAGCATAGAAGGCATAGAAGGTTCAGCTCAGTAATGTCTGTGCAGAGAGATTACAATCCATATAGATCTTTGTTTTGCATTTGGAACATGTCTCCGTCCTAATAAAAACTGTTGGAGGTGATTTACTTCTGAGTAGCTATGCTGAGGGGTCTGTGCGTCACCAGCACTGTTTACTTTAGTTAGAACGTGCTCCATTGCTGCTTTCTTAGTCACAGAAAGATGACCGGCTGGTCAGCCTCTTGGGCAAACAAGGTGCTGATTAAGAAAGGGGCTTTGTATCTAATGGGAGAGAAGCAAAGCCCGGCGCTAGAGTTCAGTGAAATGGATTCTTTTAATTACTGAAGGCAGTACAAACTGATAAAACTTATAAAAATTTAGAAGTATGTTTTTAGGCCATGAAAATGTACATATATCTTGGCCCAATGAACCCATTAATGGAATTGTATACAAAGAAGACCAAGTACAGAAAAAAAGCTTTAAGGACATAACTATGCTGTAGTTATAGCAACAAGTTGAAACCACCCACATGTCCACAGAGAAGTGACTACTGGGTCATTATCCCAGGCTCCCACTGCATACACGGTGACTTCAGGGCAGCCCATGCACACCCATGCTGAAGAGAGGCTGCTGCGGCCCGGTGGATACAGACTTCACCATGGGAAAATGAAGGTGGTTTCCTCACGTTTCATGTCATGCTTCCACACACATAAAAACACATGTCATGAGATGCATAAAACAGATGGCCCAAAAACTGAGAACATGCAGGGTGAGGTTCTGATGTGTTTCCTTTTATCCTTCTAGGCCCACCGTTCTGGGTACCCCGTGTGGTATGAGTACCCTGTTCCAGGTGCTGGGTGCTCCATTCACACTGGTGTGAACACACTGCTCCAGAGACTGGGTGCTCTGTTCACTGTGGTAGAGTTCACTGTCCCAGGGGCTGGGTGCTGCTCACACTGGGGTGACTGCACTGATCCAGGGGCTGGGTGCTGTTGACACTGGGGTGACTGCACTGCTCCAGGGGCTGGGTGCTGCTCACAGTGGGGTGACTACACTGCTGCGGGGGCTGGGTGCTGCTCACACTGGGGTGACTACACTGCTGCGGGGGCTGGGTGCTGCTCACACTGGGGTGACTACACTGCTTCAGGGGCTGGGTGCTGCTCACACTGGGGTGACTACATGACACTGGGGTGACTGCACTGCTGTGGGGGCTGGGTGCTGTTGACACTGGGGTGACTGCACTGCTGCGGGGGCTGGGTGCTGCTCACACTGGGGTGACTACACTGCTCCAGGGCTGGGTGCTGTTGACACTGGGGTGACTGCACTGCTGCGGGGGCTGGGTGCTGCTCACACTGGGGTGACTGCACTGCTCCAGGGGCTGGGTGCTGCTCACACTGGGGTGACTGCACTGCTCCAGGGGCTGGGTGCTGCTCACACTGGGGTGACTACACTGCTTCAGGGCTGGGTGCTGTTGACACTGGGGTGACTGCACTGCTCCAGGGGCTGGGTGCTGCTCACACTGGGGTGACTACACTGATCCAGGGGCTGGGTGCACCTACTGAAGTCAAGGAAAGAGCAGTGCTGCATTTGCCCTCTATTTATTTTCCCACACACGACGTGTGCATCTTCAGAGGTTAAACATACAGTACTGGAGTCAGGTTCAAGACAGAATGCTGTCCAAAACTTCTAAGGAGGCGACTGAAATACTTCTAGTTTTAAGTGCTGTGTATCTGTTGACACTGGGACACATCCTCACCTGAAACAGTTATCAGTATGAGGTATAAGTGGTTATTCCCAACATAAAGAAATTGTTATTTAAAATAGTGGTTTTTCTTTTCTTTTTTTGTTTTAAACAGTGTTTGTAAGGGCCCGTGGGTTTGAAGACTAATTAAATTTGCCGTCTGTGTTCTGCAGAGCTTTGGGACCGGTTCCTTTAGAGTGCTCTAGTAGTTTGATGGCCTTGTCAGAGTTGTCAATGTTCCTCAGCAGTGTCTCCAGCCGTCTCTTGATTTTCTTCTGATCTTCAAGAGCACAACCGATCACTATCGATTGAAATTTCTGGTCCACTGGCCCAGGCGGCACCTCAGACGAACACGCACTGTAGAGAGACATTAGGTGGTTCTTGGCAGTTCCCACGTCATCCAGGAACTTACTGACCACCTCGTCTATAATCTTTGTGGCGTGCTTCAAGGATTCCTCCTGCTGGGGATTTCGGATCGTTTCCACTGAGACCTCAACGGTAAGGGTTCGGCCCATCAGGCGGTTTGCAGTCAGGTTTAATTCTTCTCTTTCTCCTAAACACGAAACATCAGTCAGTAGGAGACAAAAACTTACCACATCAGCAAAGTGTAAACTCTGCTGTGAATTTTTAAAGGTAAAAGCCAAAACTACTGCAGCATGTGGGATTAACTGAAGACATGTTGGATGACAGAGCTAGGTCACAGAATGCCTTTCCCTGGAAGTCTACACAGTAAAGACCAGCTATCATTCCCAAGTCCACACGTTTGGCAGAGGCACCATAGCTGTGGTGGAAATAAAATAAATCCAAAGCAAGCAGATTTAGCCAGGAGGATGGCTAGGGCTCGAGGTGGGGCAGAGTGGGGACTCAGTGGTGCATATAGGATGCACACGTCTGTCGGAACACACGGCACACTTTCGGCCAAGATGTGGCAGTGACAATCAGTGGGCTCCCAAGCCAGCCCTGGCCTTCTCCCTTACAGACATAGCTCAAGCTGGCCCTGGTGCAAGTCTTGGCTAGTGACAGGAAACTGTGGTGGCCACGGGCTCTGGTAACATTTCAAGGTTTACCCAAAGCCGTCAACAACTCCTTCCTTTTCCAGTTCCCGAATTCCCCAATCCACTGATCCTTTGTCACAATGGCGGAGGACTAGGCAAGACCCATGGTGGATGGGCAGCACTTTGGGTCTGGAGTTCAAGGGCTGATTCCTCAGCTCTCCAGCCCACTCAGTGACCCATTCCTCCCTAGGCTGCCATGCTCCTCAGATGAGCACAGCAGTGCATTTTATACCAGCTCCTCCACCCATCACACCCCAGACCATCTCTCCAAGTCTCCAACTCCACTTTGTTCCCCTGCTTTTACTCTGTAGACCAGGCTGGCCTCGAACTCGCAGAGATCCGCCTGCCTCCGCCTCCCGAGTGCTGGGATTAAAGGCGTGTGCCACCAACGCCCGGCTACCTCTGCTTTTACTTCCCTGCAGCCCAGGACCTTGTGAAGTGCTGTGGCCCTGAGGCAGCTGCATGCCATACTTCTTGCCCGCCCATAGGCTAGTGTGGGGGTGGGGAGCTCCCAGAAACAATGGCCACCACCAGCACACTGAGGGCTGCAGCTGTTCTCCAGCTGCTGCTAATGCTGAACCCGCCCAAAGGCAGGCAAGCGCTGACTCACAACCATCATGGACTCCCTGCGGGGAACAGCTCTCACCGTCACTAATCTGCCTCATGTCCTGGCTGTTCTGGATGCTGTGGATCATCTCCAGGAGGATTTCTTTCTCTTGTTCAACAGCAGTCGCTGCGTCTCTCAAAGCTTCGACCCTGTGTGAATTGGCAAAACAAAGCAGTTGTTACGGCGACAGTGTCTTTCCCAGTAATGTCCCTCAGCTGCCATCTAAGTCAGCTCAAGTTTACAGGACAGTAAGAAAGCTTGGCAAAAACGCATTACTGCAAAAATGCATCCCTGGGCATAGTGGTGCATGCCTTTAATCCCAGCACCCGGGAGGCAGAAGCAGGTGGATCTCTGAGTTTGGGGCCAGCCACGTCCACAGAGGAAGTTCCAGAACAGCCAGAGCTACACAAAGAAACTCTGTCTCAGGGAAAAGGGCAGGAGGGGAGAGCATTACTTAATTTTTTTTTCTAAAGGGTGTTTTTGTCTTGTTTTCTGAGACAGGGTTCCAAAGGTGGGCCTAAACTTGCAGCAATCCTACTGACTCCGGTGGGGCAGCAAGAACGAGCACTCCCTCTGGCTCCTCTGCTTGCTTGAGTTTCTGTTTCCTTGCCCAGGGCAACCTCAGAGGCCACGTTCTTTGAAAGTCTGTGTTTGTATATTTGCATTTTAAACTTGTATCTGCTTCTTTTTCACCTTCCTCTCCAGAACCTTCTGGTTCCTGCATATCCATAGTGCTGCTCTGTGTGCCTGTGTTCTCTTCACTCTGACCGTGAATGGTCACCCATGTTCACTTCGGTGACTTGGATGGGATCTACATGCTCAAGACATTAACTCCTTATTGACCGCCGACATGGAAACCGTTTTCCTGTGAGCTTTGTTCAGGGTGGCCCTCACAGAACAGATGATACCTCCCCATCCTTCAAGATAAATGTATGCTAACTCTGGTACCCAGGGTGCTCTGTGCTGTTTCAGACTCAAGCAGTGGGATCCCCTGCATGTTTGTTGTCGGTCTATGTGCCTGAGTATTTTAGCTGCACGCATGTAAGTGTATTATATATGTGCCTGGTACCAGCAGAGGACAGGAGAGCTTCGAGGCCCCTGGAACTGCTGGAGTTACAAATGGTTATGGTGGGTGCTGGGAACCAACCCTGAGCCCTCTACCCAGGGCTCTTAGCCACTGAGCCATCTCTCCAGCCACTCATTTTATTATATTTTTTTTTTGAGACAGGATTTTACAATGTAATCCAACTGGCTTTCCTGTTCCTGACTGATGGGTAATGGTCTTCTGTATATATGGTTTTGTTTTGTTTTGTTTTTTTTTTTTGGTTTTTCGAGGCAGGGTTTCTCTGTATTGTTTTGGAGGCTTTCCTGGAACTCGCTTTGTAGACCAGGATGGCCTCGAACTCACAGAGATCTGCCTGCCTCTGCTTTCCGAGTGCTGGGATTAAAGGCCTGCACCACCACCACCCGGCTTCTGTATGTATGTTTGTCTTATTGATTGATGTTGGCAAATAGGGAAGCAAGATAGGTGGGACTAGGAGAGGTGGAGAATTCTGGGAAACGGAGGCACAGTCAGTCACTGTGTAGGATGCCAGAGGAGTAAGAGGCCTGGGCCCTTTCTCTGGTAAGAGAAGACCACGTGGAAATACTCAGACTGGCAGTTATGGCTTAATAATTAAGTCAGTGCGAGCCAACAAGAAACCATAGCAAACAGCCAACAGCTTCATAATTAATATAGCATCCCGCGTGTTCATCTGGGACTGATGCAGCTCTGGGACCAGGCTGGCGGAAAGAATGCTCGTTACATCTGACTCCTGAGTGATAGGAGATCATTTTGATATGATTAATTTCTTGTGGCTTTGCCTTGTGGTTTATCCTCTTGAAGTTTTAAGTGCGTCTCTCACATCCTGGTCATATTTTCCCACATTCTATGTATACTTTTACGTCCCTGGTATTTGTTTCTTTAGTTCACTAGAATACACTCTGGTGTTAGGCAATAACCCAACGGCCATTTTCCTTCTTTCCTTACACTAAGTCCCATGTTACCTGCAGGAAATGTACCTTTGAGACCTCTCCCCGTTGGTATGCTGGCTGCCCTCACCCACACTCTTTACAGCATCAGGGGCTTCATACCGTGCAATAACGGGTACAACAGCCTCCTCCAAAATATTCTATAAAGGTAATGGTAATGTAGATATTTGTATACCTTTATTCCTCTGTATACGTTTGAGTTCTTTAAAAAATGGGGGGATTTGGCATCCTTTTGACAGTGTGGCTTAATTTACATCTCTTTGTTTACTTCAATTTTATGTATTCTTTTTTAAATTATTTAATTTTATGTACATTGGTCTGAGGGTGTCAGATTCCCTGGAAATTGAGTTACAGACAATTGTCAGCAGCCATGTGGGTGCTGGGAATTGAACCTGGGTCCTCTGGAAGAGCAACCAGTGCTCTTAATTGCTGAGACATTTCTCTAGCCCCTTATATATTCTTTATTAGCTTTGAAATATTCTTCATAGTAGGATTATGGATTTCTGAGTATCCTAGAAACCTTGTGGACATTGCTGCAGATCATTTTAATTATATTTCTAGTTAATTATATTCTTCATAGTAGGCTTACGGATTTCTGAGTGTCCAGAAACCTTGTGGATATTGCTGCAGATCATTTTAATTATATTTCTAGTCAATTATTACTGGCTTGTGACATGCTGTCTTTCTAAGCTCAGCTTACAAATGGAAACTTTGATTGTATTAAATTTTAATGGTCAGCTGGGAGGTGGTGGCACACACCTTTAATCCCAGCACTCGGGAGACAGAGGCAAGCAGATTTCTGTGAGTTTGAAGCCTGTCTGGTCTACACAGTGAGTTCCAGAGCTACACAGAGAAACCCTGTCTCAAAAAAAAAATAAATAATGGTCAACCTGTCACTTTTATCATTTCTTCTGAGTTAATGATCATACTGTCTGGGGGAAAAAGAATTTCTGTCTCTTTTACATCCAGTTGTTTTTTCTTTATAGGTCTGATTAATGTCTTTTGGTACTGTATTAGACAGTGGAGTGATGGGGTTTTTGCTTTTTCCCAAATTTAAAGGGAAGGCCTCTGTAAAATTTTGGTGTAAAACCCTGATCATACATACCACAGAACTCTTCAACCACCAACCACACACACACACACACACACACACACACACACACACACACACACACCACACACTCACACACACACACACACACCACACACACACTCACACACACACCACACACACACCACACACTCACACACACACACACACCACACACACACACTCACACACACACCACACACACACACACCACACACACACACCACACTCACACACACACACACCACACACACACACCTCACACACACACACACCACACACACACACCACACACACACCACACACACACACCACACACACACACCACACACACACACCACACACACACTCACACCACACACACACACTCACACACACACACCACACACACACATACACACACCACACACACACACACCACACACACTCACACACACACACCACACACACACACACACCACACACTCACACACACACACCACACACACACCACATACACACACACACTCACACACCACACACACTCACACTCACGCATGCACGTACGCGCATACACGCACACTTAATGAAGAAGCAAACCCTGCTATTCAAAACTAGGTTGATGAATCATGAAAAGCAAGAGAAAAACATCTCACATATCTACGTTTTCTAGGTCTCTTTCTCACAGGTTACAGGGACGACAGTTTCAGCTTTTGTAGAGAAACAGTGATGGATGACCCCAGATCATGAGGCCACAGGCAGGCGTCCCAACCCAGATCACTAGTGGAAGTGGTCAGAGAGGGAACAATCTCACCAGCCTTTTATTAGCACACATCAACCCGTGACCTCCCATTCTCATCCCCTCCACATGTCACCCACCTGTCAAACCCCAAAATAGCACTTCGAGGTGTTTTGCTTATAGCACGTCTCTAAAGAGCCAGCAAGAGCAGCCAAGAATTATATGCCCAAATCCGGCTGAAAACAAGCAAGACGAAGCATTGGTAGGAAAACAGGCTTTTCTAGTACCACTGTATTAGAGTAGAGCCCTCCGCTAGAGAAATGAGAGCCCAGTGGGTGTGAAAGAGGCCCAGCTGGCAAGATGCGGAATGTTTATAATTAGAAACTCTAAATATGACTTCAGTGTTTAGAGAAATGAGGCGCAGACTCAGAACGACGGGGTTACATTTTAGCACTTGCGCTTGTATTAAACATGACTGAGCGATGGGTGCTGTTCTAAAAGGGGTTCTTTTACAGTTATCAGGTACAGCCCTTGGTTTGTGGGGTTAATGAAACAGGGTAAAAAGGAAACATCCTAGGGGAAGAACACCTCTGGGTATAAAGAAGCTATTGGAGCCAGGGGTGTAGCTTTGAGGCCCAGGATGTGCTGAGATTTATTTGTAAAGCCTTGAGAGAGAGAGAGAGAGAGAGAGAGAGAGAGAGAGAGAGAGAGAGAGAGAGAGAGAGAGAGAGAGAGAGAGAGAGAGAGAGAGAGAGACTAAATGATATTGACTGATGGGGGAGGAAGACGGACAGACAGATGGACTCTTTCTTCCCCTGAAGGTTCTTTATGCATAGTAGAAATTGCCAGAGCGATACACATGTCTACATATATTTATTCATTTATCGTGGGCCTTTCATTTTCTGTTCTTTCTTCCTACAACACTCTTCCTGATATTTAGGGTCTTTTTAATAATTTTCCTTCCCTTGGGCAGGGACTGTTCACAGCTTCCCTCTTCCTTTCCCTTAAGGAGATGGATACTTCCCTTGGCACTTGTCTTAGGGTGTCTATTGCTGTGTTAGATCAGCATGAGCAAGAGCACTTGGGGAGGAAAGGGTTTATTTTTCTGACTCTTGCACATCACAGTGCATCACTGAATGCAGTCCCTGTGCTCGAACAGGGCGGAACCTGGAGGCAGAAGCTGATACAGAGGCTACAAAAAAAAAAAATGTTGCCTACTGGCTGGCTCCCTCAGGGCTTGCTCAGTCACTCTTACAGAACTCAGAATCCCCAGCCCAGACTGGCACCACCCACAATGGGATGGCTTCTTCTACACCAATCACTAATTTAAAAAAGGAAACAAGCAGGGCGGTGGTGTTGCATGTATTTAATCCCAGCACTCAGGAGGCAGACGCAGGAGGATCTCTGTGAGTTTGAGGCCAGCCTGGTCTACAAGAGCTAGTTCCAAGACAGCCTCCAAAGCCACAGAGAAATCCTGTCTCAAAAAAACCAAAAGAAAAAGAAAAAGAAATCCCAAACCAGTGGTTCTCAACCCTTTTTGGGGGAAGTGTCAAACAACCCTGTCACAGGAGTTGCCCAGGACCATCGGAAAACACATATTACCTTATGATTCAGAACAGTGGCAAAGTTACACTTATGAAGTAGCAACGATAATAAGTTTCTGGTTGGGGGTCACCACAACACGAGGAACTGTATTAAAGGGTCACACAGCATTAGGAACGTTAAGAACCATTGCCCCAAAAAGGCTTTCTTGACTATGGCTTGATCTTATTTTCTCAGCTGAGAGTTCTCTGCCCGGATGACTCTAGCTTTGTGTCAAGTTGACGTTAAAGGGAGGCAGGACAGCACTGGTCATGTGTCTAGCCCCCACCCTCTTCCTTCTGAGACAGGACCTCATGTAGCACTGGCTGGCTCGGGAGTCCATTTGACCTTGTGACCTTCCGGCTTCTACCTCCTGAGTGCTGGTGCTACAGACAGACGACGCCTGGTTTAACTGTACCGGGGACGGAACCCAGGGTTTCCTGTGCACTAGGCCAGAATTCCTCAGTACTCAGCTTGCTGAAATTATGTCTGCGCTGTTTTACTGCTGTACTTAAATTCAATTCACAGAAGTCTGTCTATGCAGCTTTCCCATTAGTCTGAGATTAGTGATTGAACCTTAAATACTGCCTACCTCCCTTCCTATTGGTTTCCTAAGTGGCTAAGACAGACAGACAGATATAAACAGCCAGCCTTGATAAACTCATGCGATGATTCTTCTCTTGTCATCAAGGGGCATTTCTGTGGGGACTGGGATCCAGGGAGCAGCTACATGTCCAAATTGGGAAGGGAAGTGTCTCACATCCCCGCTGACTGGGCGCCACCTCTGGAAAGCTGCGTTCTGAGCGGGCTCTGGCAAAGACATTGTGGGGAGAATTTCCAAGCACACAAAACCGCAGCATCCTCACTTGGGCCCCCAGGCATCTCACGAGCCCGCAGTAAGGGTAAACTGGTAGAAGGAAGGCAGGTGCAGACAGGTGTCACCAGACAGCAGCTCACAAAAGTGACAACTCCGGGAGCCACCACCCATGCTGTGTCCTCACTCAGGACCCAGTGACAAGGAGACATGGCTGTGACCGAACAAAGCAAACCAGACTGACAGCACCGGCTGAAAACTTTAGCATGAATCAAACGCTATGTATGACGTCAGCCGCAGGAGAGTCACAGTGGTTATTCTAGACCTACTGTCACGTCCACAAGCTCATTGGCTAACAAAAAAAAGTGTGCCTCTATGAACAGGGAAATGGCAAATGTTCGCATCAGTGGATTTATGTGAAAGGAACTTTTTTCCAAAACAAATTCTTAAACTCACAGACGAGGCTCCAAGTGAGACCATGGCGTATGCTGCAGTCCCTGATACTGTCAGGAAAGCAAGGTTCTCTCCGTCACCAAAACGTAACACTTCATTCACTGTTGTCAGTACGATGGCCTAAGACAAGACACCTAGTCCTTCAGTTTCTTCTTTTTTTCTTTTCCCTCACTCCAGACAGGTCTCGTGTATCCCACGATGGCCCAGAACTCACTGTGTAGCCCAGGATGACCTTGAACTTCTGATCCTCTTGTCTCTAGGACAGGGTCTATGGGCACACACCACCAAGCTGGCTCTCTGAAGCCAGGTATTAAGCGTAGGGCTCTGAACATGCTAGACAAGCATCCTTAGTTGTAAGCTCCCTCGAGGCCCACTGCTCTCACAGCTGAAAGAGATAATAACAGCCTCCTCCTCCAGGGTTATAGAAGTTTCAAATTACAAGGTATATGAAAAGTGTTCTTTTAAATTACAGACTATTGCTCCAATTAAATATGGTGTCGACTTGCTTTGTGAGTCCTGGGACACTGGGACATCCTAACAGGAACCTTAAGCAGTAAGAAACCAAAGCAGGGGACAGTGCATTTCCCTGGCTCTGGCGGCAACCGTCATTTCCTGCCTGGGTGGATTGGAAAGTACTCACTATGGGATCAGTTTTGGGAAGTGTACGGACAGCAGATCTCCCAGTCCTACCTATCATTCATTCATTCCTCCTCTGCCAACCCCCGAGACCCAGCTGCTTTATCGCCCACAGCTTCTAGAAGCTACTCAATTATTGGCATGTGCTGGGTGCTCAATATGTAATCAATTAAATGCTAAATTGATCTTCTTCTCTTTTAGTAAAAGCGAATTCTTATGCCAACTGGACAGTTTGAAAAATGGTACATTCAACACTAGAACACATGGTGTTTGATCTGAGCAGACTGTCTTCTTCCCCTGTTCAAATGTGAAGTCCACAGCTCTTGACTGCAACTGGAGGCATTGCTTGTATCTGAGCTTCAATTTCTCATCTGTAGAATACAGATAATGGTAACTCCCACAGAGGCACGAGGCCTAGCATGCAGATAGATGCTAACATGTATTATTTATAAACTAGGATAAACATTAAAAAGTAATAAGTAAACTATCTAGCCACAACAGAATCACATAGAACTGGCCTCGAATATCCAGAAAGGACGGGGTTACCTCTTTAGAGGAGCTGTAGTAGAAAATATTTTTTTAAATGTCAGATAGTGTAGTTAATATTATGAACTAATAGAAACAAATGGCAATCCGCTAACAGCTCATAAAACAGGGCTGAACATTTTAAAGCGTGTTAGACATCCCAGAGGTCAGTTCATCCTCCAGGACTTAAAGCCTTTGATGTGGTTTCAGTTTCATGAGGAAAAGGTGCCTTCCACTGTCAATACAATCCACACAACTGAATGGAAAATGCATACTAGCTACAAGCCAGCGTTTTACAGTACCAAATCCACTGCTTCACTAACATCTGCACACTAAGGAAGCTAGTGGAGGGAATCACACAAGCCTATCTTTTCTCTATCATCCATACTTAAAAGTCTAATTTTTGCTTTGTTTTGCTTTTCGAGACAGGGTTTCTCAGTAGCTGTGGAGCCAGTCCTGGAACTCTCTGTAAACCAGGCTGGCCTGGAACTCACAGAGATCCACCTGCTTCTACCTCTCCAGTGCTGGGATTAAAGGCGTGGGCCACCGCCACCCAGCTAAAGGTCTAATTTTGAATAGTGCAGTGCCCAGTGGCACTGTCAAGGTGGCTTCTAAAAAGGAACCCCACGCCTTAAACACACATGAATCAAACTCTGCCCCTCAGCACAATAGTTAAAGTAGTAATCTAATCGCATATGTGCAATAAGCAGAATTCCTTTTACATGAACCAAACATTAGACTGCAACACCACTCAAACCCAAGGCTTTCAGGAACCCCATCCCCCTCCCCACCCAGCACTTGGGAGGCATGAATTCAGGTTTCAGGACAGTGACTCAGCGTAAAGAGGAGTAACAATTTCCTGAACCTTTTCAAGGAGACAAAAATCTGAGCAGATGTCCAAGTTCAGTATCTGCTTTGGAGAGAGAATGCTTCCCTCTCCTCAGAAGGGTTTGAAAGCTGAGGCCCCTTTGTCTTACTCCGGGTTCAGGACTGTCTGGTTCAGGCTTCTCTTGTGGCTACTCGGGAAATCGTGAAAAAATTCTCACTTTCTACTTGTTCTTTTCTCCTAAGAGTAAGAATAACAAATGCCTCAGTTGTAACAAAGCTGCTTGCGGTAGTTTTCTGTGCAAACACCCGTCCGCGTGTTTGTTTGGTGGACGAATGGAAGGAGATAAAGGCACACAAGACTCCTAAGATTGTGGCTCATATTCTCTTGCTTATGCAGAACCTGGGGAAAACTAGGGAACAAAATGTTCGCAGTTCCAGAAGACCCAGGGTGCCTTGATAAGATTTTCATGGAACAAAACCCTCACACAATCAAGATTTGCACAACTTTGGAGACGACTTTACCACCAGATAGGTAAGGTCTCAAATTGCTATAGGCAACAAAGTATTTACAGCATTTGCTAGTAATCAACATTTAGAAATTTTACTACAACGCTGATCCCATGATAGACTCTTAGGTGGAGTGTGACTCTTGCCTTTTCAGGCCTGTGGCTGGCACCTTCAAGGTGTCACCAGTATCTTCTAAATGCACAACAGATACAGACCGACTGCGGAGGACACTGCACGTGGTCAAGAAGAGGAAGGAACGCATCCAACTTTGGCACCCACAACGGCCACTCCTGGGTCTAATTCTCGCCGGTCGCGGGAGGGACAGTCTGGAATTTTCCTTAACGTTTGTGTTACTATGAAGTGGTTTGGGGCAAAGAAACTTACTACAATGAGAAGGTGGCAGGGAGAGTCCCACACTAAGCTGCTGCCTCCCTCCAAAGAGCATTACTGGAAACGTGAAAGTTAAAGACGGCGGGGACCACACGGGAGGTTCTGGAAGTTGGGCAGGCCGTGCTAGCTCTCCCGGGGAGCGGAGCCCACCCGAGGCGCCCCCGCCTGCACGCTCGCCCGCACGCCCGCCCGCCCTCACCTGAGCTCCAGCTGGTCCAGGCTCTCCAGCAGGCGGCTGGAGCGGTCTGCCATAGACGAGGAGCGACAGAAGCGACCCTCGTGGGCCTTGGCGCTGATCTTCGCCTGGGCCATGAGCTCCGGGGGTCCGGGGCGTCTGCGGGCAGCAGTGGCGCGGGCCGCACGTCGCCGTCACCGCGGGCGCCGCTGACGCGGACGGCACCGCCCCCGAGGCCGAGCGGCCAAACAAGGGCAGGCGCGGGCGCAGCCGCCAGCACGCGGGTGGGGGGACCCTGTCCCGGTGCTCGTCGCCAGCCTCCCACCCGGCTGCCGGCTCGCTGATGGCTTCTGCCGTTTGTCCCAGCACCCACAATTCACAGCAAAGACAAAACCGTGCAGCCTGTGACGTGGGAGAGAAGATCCCCTTGTGTAGCAAAAGACAATTGAGTGCGCCTTAGGGCAGTCTCTACTTGCCCGACCTGCCCGGTTACAAGGCAGGCTCCTAAGAGGACAGGGAGAGCCTGGGCAACACTGTGCTCCAAATAAGGAGAAGCCAAGCGTATTTATACTGTCTCCCTTTCTAAAGAAAGGTTATTACTTTCACACCCAACTTACTGAGATCCTCGGTGAATAATATTCAATAGGCTCCCGTGTCAGAAGCCGCAAAGGTCACTACTAAGAGACAGCATAGGGCTGAAATGCAAAGCCTAGTCTGGTTAAAGTTGTGTTTTGCCCTCTCAGTGCACAGAAAATGGAAAACCTGAAGTTGATTTGCAACCTTTAATCAGAACTCAAAGCCATTTGATTACTGAACAGGGTTAAGACCCTTAGGTACGGCTGGCTTCCGGGTCCTCCATGCCCCCTCCCCAATTCATTTTAAATACTAAGGAACAGCAGGTTATCTGGCTTCATTAAACATTGTCATTTCATGACACAAATGTGAAATCTGTACGTTTTGTGAATGTCTTGAAAAATCTAAGCTTGAGCATGTCTCAAGTCTAATGCTAGCTCATCTGGACAAAGGATTGTGTCTCTAGGGCCTGAGTGAGCTCAAAAAGGCCAGGCTGGGTAGCTTTGGCAAGAGCCCAAAGTCTCAAAAAAACATAAAAGGGGTTGCAGACATGGCTTAATGGTGCAGCAGCATCTGCCTTTGTTCTAGGCTAGCAACTAAACAAGGCAGATGTGATGGATTTCGTCTCTCATGCTCTCTGGCATCTAGTCCTCAGTTGGTGGCTGTTTGGGGACGATTGATTGTGTGTGGTCTTGCTGGAGGAAGTATGTCACTGTGGGTAGGTTGCAGAAAACTAGCCATCCCCAGTGTCTCTCTGCCTCCTGCTTGGGTTCGAGATGAGTGCTCAGAACCTGTCTTTGCTGCCATCATGGACTCTCTCTAACTAAGCCCAATTAAATAATGTTTTGTTTTGTTTTTCGAGGCAGGGTTTCTCTGTAGCTTTGAAGCCTGTCCTGGAACTTGCTCTGTAGACCAGGAACTCACAGAGATCCACCTGCCTCTGCTTCCTGAGTACTGGGATCAAAGGCATGTGCCACCACCGCCCGGCTTAAAGGATTTCTTTTATAAATTGCCTTAGTCGTGTTTTATCACAGCAAATGGAATATAGCAGACATCTTCAAAGTTACCATTTTACTTTGTCGGGCACACAAAGAGGCATTTTTAGACTACGTGCTCCTGTCTGAAGATGTGTGAACTCTGTAGAGAGCAAGCTTCTGAATGGCCAGGCTTCCCATATGACTATGTGTAGACTCTCAGAATGAAATTCCCAGTGTTTGTGGAGAGCTCTGCTTTGGTAATGGCTCCCATGTTCTTCCTTCCTGCCCAGTACAGATTGCAAACCTTTGTCGTTTACATCCTGGCTGTGTTTATTTTGGTTTCCAACCAGCAGGGTGTTTTGTTACAGGTTTGGTAATTTTCAGGTTTCTAGACTAGAATGACTCTGGACTTTCACGCTCATATCCTAGACCCATTAGTAAGTCCCAATTGTACCTTCAGAATATATCTTGACTCTTCCAATCCGACCATCACCTGGCCAGTCTTTCCTGGGTGACTGTGGAACCCCATCCTCTCCCTCAGCATCTATCTTGCCTCTCTTGGGAATTCGTAATACAGTATTTAAGCACAGTAGACTGTACCAAACTCCCAGGAACCTCCTGTGGCTCACCAGAGTAAACAAGAGAAGCATTTCTCAAGTGTGTGTCATTTTTACAAAATCCTCAATCAAACTACAAGTCAGGAGCCACCTTGTATGTTTTTTTTTTTTTTTTGCATGGTTCAATTCCCTCGCCTTCTTTGAATCTTCCCTTAAGTTCACTTACCAGTGCAATTTTTCCTGACCACAGTTACAAATATCAAGCCTGAGCTAGGCGGAATGGGTGCTCATCTGTAATCCCAGGCTGAGGCAGGAGGACCTGGATTGGAGGCTAACCTAGGCTACACAGCAAGATGCTGGTTCAAAACAAGAAGTAAATCTAGGGCTGGAGAGAGCTAAGTGGTAGAGAGTGTTTGCCTAGCATGTATGCTGCTCCAAGTTTGATGATTCCCAGTACTACAACCCAGCCTGAATCCTGCACCATTCTCCTCCTCCCTTCTGTATTTACATTATCCCCAATAGGTGCAGTTTTATCTATCTGCTCATTTGTTACCCATACTATTCATATAGCCCACTCTCCATGTCACATCTCATGTACGTCAAGCAGTTGCTGTCATTAGTCCACAATATTTTGTGAACAAAGGGATTAACAATAAAATGAAAAAAATTGTTATCAGTATTAGATATACTTGAGATAATAATCTACAACTTTATTATTAATGATTCCTGTCTAAATTCAAATTATGAAGCAGTTTTATAATGTTTTAAAATCATTTAGTGAGTAATGATATTAAAGCATTAAAGAACATTGTTACCTCTTCCTAAGAGGTTTGGCTATTGTCTATTACAGCCCAGGAATGCTGTATGAGCTGCTGGGAGTGAATCCCTGATCTTGGGCATGCTAGACAACCACTGAGCCACACTTAACACAAAAGCTCCCTAATAGACTCTCAGTATACACTGTGCTTGGATGAGGAATTTCTGGCAAAGAAATGGAAATGTTTCTTCTTGTTCCAGATCTGCTTAGCTACTTTCAAGGTTGTTTTTCTTACTGTTTAGCAAGCTTCTGCAAATGTGTTTGGGATCAACATGAGGACTACCTCTTATAGCCTTGCTGGGCACTTTAACATAAAATGTCAAAGCAGCTGCATAGTGACACCTTCTTGAAAACAAAAACAAAAGAAAAATAAAGCACAGTCTGGTTGATTTTGCAATATAAATACCAAATTCTCAAGCTACAATATCTAAGCAGGGCTAAGGCTGCATTTGTTTAAGTCTGAGAAGCTGTTTTACTCTGCCTGTCTAACACACCTGATTGGTCTAATAAAGAGCTGAATGGCCAATAGAAAGGCAGGAGCAAGGATAGGCGGGGATGGCAGGCAGAGAGGATGAAAGACCCTGGCCCAGTTTAAACAGGCAGCTGAGGCTTATGGAGAATTCCGTTCCCCCACAGCTACATAGTCATTGCCTATCAGAAGGGAGCTCAGTCCCAAGGACACAGGCTGTCGGGTATCTGCAGGTGGCCGGATGGCCAGCTCAGCAGGATTGAGCAAACACAGAGACCAATTGTTCCTCAGATAGGGCCAAGGCCAAGACTTGAGTTCCAAGAAAAACCTCAATTGCCCGCGCTCTGAGCCCTAGACTCATTTAAATTGCCCAATCAGGGTCCTGTTACTAGGCTTCTCGCTTCTGTACTGCGCTTTTTGCTATAAAAGAACCCCTGAGTCCCCAGCTCGGCGCGCTCAGTTCCCCGAGACTGAGACGCCCGGGTACCCGTGTGTTACCAATAAAGCCTCTTGCTGTTGCATCCAAGCTCGTGGTCTCGTTGTTCCTTGGGTTCGGGTCTCCCTTCCGTGAAAGTATCCCTATTGGGGTCTTTCAAGGATAAATAGCTAAGAATAACAAGCCTCCATGTGTGATTTATTTTGGGGCTGGGTGGCAGACAAAGAACAAAAAAGAGTGACACACCCCCAGGATCCTGACACTCACAAAGTAGAAGTGATAGGTGAAGGTCGTTCTAGGTGTTCACTAGCTCCTCCAGGGCAGCTTCAAGGAAAATGGTTAAACATTCTGAAAAACAAACAAAAACCAAAAGCAAGAAGAATGTAGGCAGAGAGGAGGAGAACTGCTTTTATAGTAGCACCTGGTTTTGAAGCTCTGCCCTATGAACCCAGGAAAGGATCAAGACACGTACTCAGCTCAAAGGGGACATTAAAAAAAAAAGATTTCTAGCATGGATTGAAAACACAGAAATTCTATTTCATATTAAACTAGCCAGTATTCAAGCCACATCTTTCTGTCTTAACCAAAAAGAAAAATGTCTTACTTAGAAATTTGTGCTTTAGTCTTTTGAGGCCAGATCTCACCACAGGGTGGTCCTACTGCCTCAGACTTCTGAGTGTTGGAATCACTGATGTGACCAGCTAGAGAAATTTGTTTGTTTTGTTGTTTTTCAAGACAGCGTCTCACTATGTAGCTCTGGTGGTCCTGGAACTCACTGTGTAGACTAGGTTGGCCTCAAAAGTACTGGGACTAAAGGCATGTGCTGCTATGCCCAGAAAAAGAAGTATTTTTACTATTGACAAATTATGATTCAAAAAAATTTGTGTGTGATATTTCTGCCCAAATAACATGAAGCATATATATCAAGATAATATGAGATTCTTATTCTTCCACTGATAAAAGGTTTTTACTCACAATAGAGCTTCAACACCTAAAAACTAAATATGTCATACCAGATGATGTAACTCAATGAATAACTAAAGACACTTAATATGAAACTGAATTTTTTAAGATCGAAGGATTATTCCTCAGTATACTAGACCTTCAAGCATATATACAAAAAAAATCAGAAAACCTTATTTTATTTTGATTTTTTGAGACAGGGATTCTCTGTGTAGTTTTGTAGACCAGGCTGGCTTTGAACTCACAGAGATCCACCCCACCTGCCTCTGCCTCTGGAGTGCTGTGATTAAAGGCATGGGTCACCAACACCCAGCCAGAAAACTTTTAAAAATAGATTTGCATGATTATATAAAAGACTAATATTAAAAAAGTATAATTCTATGTATATACTTTGATATTTGAAGTTATACAAAAGGCTAAAATGGATAGAAAAGG